AATGTGTTAGAGATCATACTTATAGCCTGAGGTGGTATGTGCAAGAACTATCCGTGATTTGTTCTCAATTATAGGTCTCAACTGCTTCCTCTCTGCTTCCAACAGCAAATGACGGTGAAATTGATCCTGAATATTACACAAAATTTTGTATAGAATGTTACAGGGATACACGCTAAATCATCATTCATACCATAGTTAACTTACTAAGCTTATATTGATCAATCCAATAAAATATATACTACTCCCTCCGTCCACCTTTTGTTGTCCACTTTTTCCGTTTTGGTGTCCAGAATTAATTGTATGCTTTCCATATTTTATTTAAAAAATTGTGAATGATCAAAAATGCCCCAAAAGAGCATTTTTACATTGTTGACATCAATGAAGGGCAAGCTAATTTCAAGGGTTTTGTTATTTTACCCTCATCCCTAAAATTTGAGGTATTTTGGAAAGTAGACAACAAAATCCGAACGAGATTGGTGTATAGGTTCAGATAAATGTCATAAAACTGAGAAAAGAAGATCAAAATCATCATAATGGCATCAGATCAAAGTAAGTAATCTACAGAAAAATAAAGATGCACCTTTGTGAATCCTGGACTAGCAATCACTGCACAACGAACCAACTTGAAATCGATATGCTTAAGGAAAGCCTGGAAATAAAGATATTACTACTTGAGAGTTGAGAATAATTATGAGAATCAGAACGCTTAAGCAAATCAATATGCTTAAGGAGGGCACGTTTGGATAACTCCATAATTGGAAATTGGTGTAATTATATGTAATTACAGTCTTTGTCCTGCTTGGTTGATTATGTTTTTACAAAGTCATTTTGTTATTGGGCGGCCCCAATTACACTTTCCATCTCCAAGGGGGAGGAGTTGGAGTTGGGTTAATTACTCGTACCAATACCTATAAATACATATTCACTATAAATACCAATTATGCCCTGCGTAATCAAGCATCCACAACATTGTGACTACCAAACAGTCCGTGTAATTACTCAAAGCCTTGTAGTTACTACCCAAGTAATTACACAGCCTAGAAATTACGCTCTGGCATGCAATTGCACTCTAAGGGAAAAGGAAAGAAGCAAAATGTGGAGCACCTAAAAAAAGACTTACATCCACAACATTATTGAAGAACTTATTCAGAGCCTGCAAACATGACGATTATTATTATTATCATTCTTATTATTAACATTAAGCACTTACGGCTAAGTACTTACTTCAAGTCCAAAAGACCAGCTTGAAAGGACAAAAAATAAAGGGTTTAGATTTGAGAAGAAAATTTAGATGCATACTTTATCATAACCTGCTATAGCAGGGCCATGCTTCCTAGGAATGGAAGTCTCAATCCGAGAACGACTAACTGTCACACTGTAAAGAGACGCTGTACATATGTAAAGTTTACAATCTTATGGACAAAGCCACAGAAATAAAAACTCTAGTAACAAAATGTCTCATCAATAACGTCCATCAGAAAAACAGAAAAAAAAACTTTTGTAGAAAAAGTCTTGTACGGCTCCATATTTTGGGTACACAAGGTGAGTAAGCAGACTTGATTTGGCAAGTAGTCCTACTACAAACCCAACGTGTGCCCCAATTCACAACGGAAGGGAAAGTGAAAATGGAGGTTTTACGCCCATGTGGTGAAAAGTGGAATTTAGGTATGATAAATTAGGAATCTTTATCAATGGTTTAGATTTCCTTATTTCAAACTATGGCAGTATGGCAACAAAGATAACATTTTCTTGAAAAATGTGTATGTCCATAAGCATCAAAGTGACACCATCATAAGCACACACACACATGTCAAATATTTATTGCGCACACAGGAAAACAAATAAGTGTAGTTTGACATTATTTTAATCCTTAATCCCGCCAACCAAGTAAAAAACATGAAATTTTGCACCATGAAGGTTGTTTAAGAAAGCATGTACCTTGCATTCTTATTAAAAATGTTCTCATGTTTTGTTACCTTTTACCAACTAGAAAAATTTGTGCCAAGCCTTCTTGCATCAAAACCACAGCCAAATCGGCACTCGCAGCAGGATCTAACATTGTCGTTTGAAAAAGAATTCATCAGGTAAGTGATTAGTTAACAGGTTAAGGGAAGCAAACTTGCTGCTGTTTCATTATCAATAATGGATAACTTATAACCATTATAATTATAATCATAATCATAATTATATAAAAATAATAATAAACTAGCAATGAGTTATCCGTATAACGAACATGAAATTGTTAGATATAGTGCAGCCCTAGTTGTATGTGTTTAGCCCATCTCATATTTTGTATTTATATTATATAATTATATGTGCTCTTGTGCGGTCTTGAAACACAAAAATATACCCCATCCATCCTAAAAGAAGGTTCCTAGTTTGATATGGAACGCTTGTTATGAAAAGTGAGATTACATTGCGGTTTGGGACACGGCGGACACCAGCCCTCGCTGTCATAATATGAGCCATTTGGGACCCTATAGNCATCAGGTAAGTGATTAGTTAACAGGTTAAGGGAAGCAAACTTGCTGCTGTTTCATTATCAATAATGGATAACTTATAACCATTATAATTATAATCATAATCATAATTATATAAAAATAATAATAAACTAGCAATGAGTTATCCGTATAACGAACATGAAATTGTTAGATATAGTGCAGCCCTAGTTGTATGTGTTTAGCCCATCTCATATTTTGTATTTATATTATATAATTATATGTGCTCTTGTGCGGTCTTGAAACACAAAAATATACCCCATCCATCCTAAAAGAAGGTTCCTAGTTTGATATGGAACGCTTGTTATGAAAAGTGAGATTACATTGCGGTTTGGGACACGGCGGACACCAGCCCTCGCTGTCATAATATGAGCCATTTGGGACCCTATAGTGCTCAGTTGGGCCCAGGGGGGATGGGTGGAGGGTTGGGGAGCTGGTTAAGTGGTTGCCCATGGGAGGGAGGGGGCTGCTGATGCCAATATGCTAAAGGGGGATAGGCATCAGCCACAGGGAGCTGGGGGTAGGGTAGGGGGTCGGGTGGGAGTTTGTGGGGGAGGGGGGAGTTGGGAGAATGAGGGAAGAGTAAGGTATATAAGTAAATTTTACCAAATTTTCAAAAAAAGTGAACTAATTATGAGGATAACGAGTTGGATGATAAATTGGCTGAAAATTGGATACCAGAAGCTTGACGAAGAACCTCCAAAGCAAGTGAGTCCCAGACCTCCTAAATTGATGAGGGAATGATTAGCACTAAAAACAAAATAGAAGGGGGAACGGGGAATCCAGCTTTACCTTCCCCAAAACGAATGGTCGGTGCAGCTCAATTTCTAATGTGTGAAATGCACCAATCTGCATCAGATATTAACTAGTTAAGATTTCAGAAGTTGCATGACAAGTTTACACATACAACCCAATTTCAATACATCTGTGACATAGAGAGCTTATCCTTTAATCAGGATCCTTTCACTACAGAAAGAAGCCAGTTTCTGGAAAACTCCAAAAACTTTAACTGGATAAAAAGATGTGGGACCTTATAGAGACTAAGTCTAAACAATGCATAGAGAAGAAAGAACTGATGCAAGACAAGTTAGCTTAATTTAATGTCCAAACTGTAATGCCAAATACCTTTACATGCTCATTCTCCAGGACGTTCTTACCCCTTATACGCAAGGCAGAATCTTCTTTATCATACTCCACAGCCTTCAAAAATATTTTTTAGAAAAAAAATTATTTGGTATAAAATTGAACACACATACCATCCATTGCCAATGGAACAAAAATACTACGTAGTCATTATTGACAATATTTTAGTCGCAGGCTCATAATGGACTGCATCAAAATGGAAAATTAAATTTCCCTTGCTTCTTAGTTCTAACTACTTCAAGGTTTTGGGTAGTAAATGCAGCAATTTATCTAGGGTTCTAGGGTCTAACATAAACAACCTCCTTGTTTTTAGAGGAATAAGACAACGTGTATCTTGATCTCCATGCTCCAACGGAGTTGGGATTATACTGAGTTGCTGGTGTTGTTGTAAAATTGAACACAGATAACAAATTTGGATCCTTTTAGGGACTAATTAAATCATAGAGAAAGGGTCATCCACCTACATGCATGAAATGGGAAAACTACCACCACTAATAAACTTGGCCCCTATCACCACTCAGCATTTAATAGGCCTTAACATGTGTGTTTATGAAATAATGAAACAAAGTAGGCATACCTCAACATTTATCTGTAATCGTAATTTTACTCGCTCCGCTTCTCTTCCCCCTGAAGCAGACTCTCTTAAAACTTTCCTGAAGGTATGGTAAGGAATATAGTCAATAACATCAACAATAGAAACACCCTGATCCCACAAGTGGGATTTAGGTGGGTGCAAGGCGACCTTACCCCTGCCTATAGAGGTTGAGAGGATGTTTGTTGAAAAAACACAGTTCAAGAAAACAAACATAAGCATGTTAGAACAATCAAAGATTAGGAGTAATATATAGTCCATGGCAATTTTCCAATTTTGACACACGTATTGTTGTAATAAATAATCTAAGTACAACAACCAGAAAAACAAAATAAATTAGCCTACAATAGTTAGGATAAACTTCAACAGCTTTCTCCGAGTTTCAAACATCTTGGAAGCAAACGTGAGAGCACATATAATTCTAGTACAATTCAAAATAATCAAACTAATTCCACCCTCAATGCTAATTAAGAACTTTTACCAATTATGATTTATGAAAACATAAAAGCTAACTAATTATCCACACAAATAAAAAAATAAAGCTGTTGAATGCATTATGAGCAGATAACCCGAGCATTAATGGAAAATAAGCACATCTATGAATCAAAAAATGGAAAATTGCATCTTTTGTCTGGCAAACAGTTCAAGTGCAGCCCCATGAATGTTGAACTCCGGGGTAAAATGCTACTAAAAAATCAACATTAACAGACCCAATAAAACCCCAAAGAGCAGGGTCTGTGGAGGGTGTGTGTATGAAGATTGCAGGCCTTACCATACATGGAAACAACATCATCAACAATAAATAAAAACTATTACCATGATATACAAATTACAATGGTTCAACGGGAGGGAAAATGAGAAACCAACTCATTAGGAAATACTCCACATTCAACATTGCAAAATAGTGCATTGAGCATAAAAATACCTAACAGTTGAAGCTAACACTGTGTCACCTTCACTTATCAAATTATATGCAATCCACAAGTCATCTGCCTCCTCAGGAATCATCTGCATCACAGTCAAATCCACTGCACAATTATACATAATTGATATTTTAAAAAGTAAATCTGAAAGTATGATCGTGCTTGAAAGGCAAATCTCTGAAGAAATTACCTTGACACCACCAGGGCCATTGCTAATGAAGTCTCTGTGAACAATTTTCATCTTTTGTGATTTTCTCCGATTTTTGTTGGGAAAGTATTTCTGTTTCTCTTCCTAAATGATTAAAACAATTGAGCATGTATGTTCAGTGTTAATGACATATATGGCGGTTCATGGACAAACCAAAGAAAAACCTTCATATAAATATTGGTGGATTGTCTTCCAGCATTTCTTTGAATCATGTCTGATGGAGCCAAAGATTCACTACTTTTTTGCGGTGTGATGGAAAAAAGAAAAGTGGCTCCTTAAACTGCTTTTTTGGTAGTGAAGTAGCAGTTGCAATTTTCGACACTCATTGTGGGCCATCATGAAATAGCCACTCTATGTGTAAAACGTAAGGGTCAGGTTGTGTGCATCCGACCCCCTTACTCCGCAATGGGCGGGAGCCTTTGAGGCACTAGGATAATGTTGTTGTTTCTTCTAGCATTTGGACATATAAGTATAAGCCATAAGGTGATGTTAGCTTTGCAATTTGCACTTAACAGTCTTCTAATTGTGTAAAGCACTTATTCCCTGAGCAATAGCCCTCTCTCTTGGAATAAGTTTCGATGGCATCGATATCTTCAAGAATGGGTAAATTAGATGAATAATACGAGCACATGGATGTTTAGATAGAAACCAAATTGGTGAAAATTATGGACCTTTTACGGTGTGTTCTTCACACAGCTAGGGATATACGTGTATAATAAAGGCTTGGTGATCATTTACTTCTATAACTATTATCCTACTATAATTAGGATTACCTCCATTATTCAATAAGACCAATTATTATCAAATTATTCAATAAGACCAATTATTATCAAATTATATATAAACAAAAGATGAAAATTGAACAGAGTCCGGTAAATGCATCAAAGAACATTAGGTTAAAGTAGTTAAAGTAGTTCTCCCTGTTTGCTGAATTTAGTCTGATGTGCTGTTTGTGAAACTTGGACAGTCTAATAGGGATGTATTGCTAGAAAGGTAAGAGCATAACAAGTTATATCACTATGTCTAGTTTCGAAAGAATTTGATGATAAATTTTCATGTGAATTTGAAAGGGGAAAAAACAGACGGAAATTTGTGATGAAAAGAATAAAGTCCGAAGACGGAATCGGGAAAGAAAAGCTTACGATTTGGAGCAGATGATGAAGCCGATGTGGTGGTGCGCTGGTGCTCGGATAATATTGGTTCACGATCTGAATGTATGAGGCGGTGTACCTTTTACAAATTGCAGATTTTGGACTTATAAAATACACTAGTTTCCAAATTACAAATTTTGGACTTACAAATATAGATAGAATTGGATTTATAAGGGAGGGAGCGACTTATAAATCTCTGTTACTTCTTCCATCCAAATTTAATTTTCTCATTTTCACTATTTTTTTTATTTTTAAGGAGATTGATTATGTAATATAGTTGTCTAAAATACTCTTACTAAAAAGTGGAGATAGATGCATTATTGAAAGTTTTTAATTAAAGAAAGAATATTTTGGTCCAAACAAACGTGTATACAAGAGGTGAGAAAATTAAACTCGGACAAAAAAAAAAGTAATGAGATGATTAAATTTGAAAATAGTGAATATTTTTTCTTCTTACCTTATACGGAGTAGGTCAAGTTGGTTTGTGAAAAGTATATTTTATCAAATTGGTGTTTTCATTAAAAATTTGAAAAAAAAAAAAAAATTGGAAGGTCAATTCTTATATAGTATGGTTGCCAAATGAAGCAATGCCCACAACCCACACCCAAGGCAATGAAAGTTTGTGATGTTAAATTTCAGACAAATTTTATGGTTGATCTAATGTCCATTATGGACCTGCATATGAACAAAATAAACATTTTCTTATTACATAAATAGACATCTATTTTTTAATTAGTGATGCAAATAAACAAATCTATATATTATTATTTCCATAGTATTTACAACAATGTACTTTTTTCGTTCTCAAATGAAATCCTAAGTTATCATTTTATGGTCACGATAACATTGATATATTTAAATGTTTTTATTTATTATTTGACCAAATATCACAGTTACGCAACATCTTATGGTTTACATAATTATTACTCCGTAATCTGCATTTAATGTGTTAGAGATCATACTTATAGCCTGAGGTGGTATGTGCAAGAACTATCCGTGATTTGTTCTCAATTATAGGTCTCAACTGCTTCCTCTCTGCTTCCAACAGCAAATGACGGTGAAATTGATCCTGAATATTACACAAAATTTTGTATAGAATGTTACAGGGATACACGCTAAATCATCATTCATACCATAGTTAACTTACTAAGCTTATATTGATCAATCCAATAAAATATATACTACTCCCTCCGTCCACCTTTTGTTGTCCACTTTTTCCGTTTTGGTGTCCAGAATTAATTGTATGCTTTCCATATTTTATTTAAAAAATTGTGAATGATCAAAAATGCCCCAAAAGAGCATTTTTACATTGTTGACATCAATGAAGGGCAAGCTAATTTCAAGGGTTTTGTTATTTTACCCTCATCCCTAAAATTTGAGGTATTTTGGAAAGTAGACAACAAAATCCGAACGAGATTGGTGTATAGGTTCAGATAAATGTCATAAAACTGAGAAAAGAAGATCAAAATCATCATAATGGCATCAGATCAAAGTAAGTAATCTACAGAAAAATAAAGATGCACCTTTGTGAATCCTGGACTAGCAATCACTGCACAACGAACCAACTTGAAATCGATATGCTTAAGGAAAGCCTGGAAATAAAGATATTACTACTTGAGAGTTGAGAATAATTATGAGAATCAGAACGCTTAAGCAAATCAATATGCTTAAGGAGGGCACGTTTGGATAACTCCATAATTGGAAATTGGTGTAATTATATGTAATTACAGTCTTTGTCCTGCTTGGTTGATTATGTTTTTACAAAGTCATTTTGTTATTGGGCGGCCCCAATTACACTTTCCATCTCCAAGGGGGAGGAGTTGGAGTTGGGTTAATTACTCGTACCAATACCTATAAATACATATTCACTATAAATACCAATTATGCCCTGCGTAATCAAGCATCCACAACATTGTGACTACCAAACNGGGGGGGGGGGGGAGTTGGGCAGCCAACCCCGACGGGAACACCGTCCTCCCTCCCCTCTGGCCCTCTCCCCTTGATCGGTGTCTGGTGCCAGGAGCGTGCAGACGCCAATCGTTCCAATCGATTTTTCTGTTTTTCTTTTTTTTTCGTTTTCCGATCGTTGGAGCTAAAAAAAATTAAAGATTTTTTTAAAAATGACCGCTAGGTCCAAAAAAGTTATTGTATGTTTTTAAATTTCATTGAAGTTTTTTAAGTGTTTGTATCAACATCATCTTTATATTTTGTCGTACTTCTTAATTAACACATTTTATTTCATTTACCATTTAAGTGTTTTTTTGAAGTGTCCAATTATTATTTAATGTTTTAGTTTTTTAATTTTTTAAATTAGAATATTAAATGCAAATGAAATGTTATAAAAGTACTATTTAAAAAATAAAAAAGAATACATGTGGAATGATGATGACACCCCCGGGTGAGGATAAATGTAGATAAAATGAGGAAAGTTGATGTGCACTGAGTTGGAAGTGGGGATGATGGATATTGCGAAGATGGCACCCCGTAGCATAATGCAAATGTCTACATAGTCCTCGCTTTCATTTTGAATACTCTCTCCGTTCCACTATATTTGTCCAGTTTGACTTTTTTTGAGTCAAACTGGCCAAACTTTGAACTTCAATTAAATAAAAATCGTAATGTATTTTAATATAAAATGACTTTATTGGATTTATCATATTTAAAAATTTTAAATTTTATATTTCATTATACTAATATGTAATATAAATTGAAAGTAATTGAAGTTCAAAGTTTGTTCAGTTTGACTCGAAAAAGTCAAACTAGACAAATATATTGGGACGCATGTAGTATTTGTTTAGTTTTTACTTTTTGAGTCAATCTAAATTGATCTTTAGACTTTGTTTTTTTAAAGAGACCATAGACTTATAATTAAATAAAAACTACAAATTGTAACTTTTTAAATTACACAAAAAAATTAATTTATTTTATTAAATAATTAAAAAAAATATATAAACGAAAAATATTATAATTTCACAACAATAATTGAGAGAATATTTTTGAGGAAGATAAAATACTTGTCCAAACGCATGCTGGATCGGTTCACTCGGTGAATTTATTTTTTATTTTATTTTATTTGAGAAAAAAATGTGTGAAAAGGTAAGGAGAAAAGATGGTGAAAAGATAGAAAGGGAATAACTGAATTTGCAAAGAAGACAAGAACCTCCCACCAACCCAGCAATGAATGGATGTACTGAATGAACATAGGAGAGAGAGAGAGAGCTGATGATGATAGAGGGGGTATCATTGTGATTATAAGAATGCAATGCACCCCAACCATTCATTTCTTTACTCTTTTGTGGCCATAAGTCATTTGGTTGAACAAGAAGTGTCAAATATGGAGTATTATAAATTCAGAGTTGGTAATTGATACTCCCTCCGTTCCAAAAAGAATGGAACGGTTTGACTTTTTGAGAAATTAAGGGAGGGATATTTTGGTATTGACTTTCCAAAAATACCATTGATGTGATGTGTACGTAAAAATAGGATGTGATGGGTAGATTATTAGAAAAAAGGTATGATGTGATAGGTAGGATATGAAAAAGTAAGGGGTAAAAGTGGTTTTTTAATAGAAATGTAACGGACTTTATGGGACGCAGTTTTTTCTAAACGTAACAAACTTTTTGGGACGGAAGGAGTATATTGCACTTAGAAACAATTATGTTAATTATAAAATTTATTTATTTAAGTATCATGTATTATTTGCTAGTTGGTATGTAAATAAGGCTTAATTCACATATTCTCAAGTGATTGTTCGGACAATTCTAAGAGGTCACTCATTATTTCTTGCTCTTTTCATCATGGAGAATGGTCACACTTCAATTTTTATTTAATTTTAAGAAGTTTGGAAAAGTAAAAAAAGTGTCTGAATGTAATTTGTGTAAACACGAAAAAGTTCTAGAGTAACGTTAGGGGACATCAAATTGTATCTTAAGCTTTAAATCGTTTATCTCCCCATCACATATTTTTTTTTAATTTAAGATATATTTTTTGAATCTACGATAAAAATAGGCGGTGAGGGATAAATAGTATACAACTTAAGAAATTTCTAAATAAATTAAATAATTCTAGACCTGGTCTAGTAGTGTTTGACCGATTAGGTAATTTACATCATTATGATCATATTTAGAATGATTTTTTAAATTTTTATTAAATATTTTATTTACATGATTATCTTCTAAATAATTGTAAATAATCTAAAATTTTTACTTTCAAATTTATAAAATTATATTTACATTTTTTGGATTATGTTGTCATCCTAAAAAATTAAAATATTTTTTCAAAATTAATAAATTTTTATTTTGAAAATGACTCAATTTGAGAAAACACAAGGTTAGAGAATATCATTTTAAGAAAATAGTATAAAATTTAACGTCAAAACGACCGTTAGTCGGGAAGATTGGATTCATCATTATTCTCAATTACTCTCTCCGTCCTAAAATTAACTTCCCATTTGACTTTTCATGGTCTCCAATGCGGCACTTTGACCATTAATATCTCCATTTTTATATGAATATATATTATCAAAATAATATATTTCAAAACTATGTTTCAAAATGAATCTATTTATACTAAATTAATATGAAAATTCAATATATTTTTTCCGTAATATGCAGTTAAAGTTTAAAAACTTTGACTGCAAAAGTCAAAATGAGAAATTAATTTTAGAACGGAAGGAGTAACGATTACTCCCTCCGTCCTATAGGGACTTAGGAGTAGTAAATTTCAACTGAAAAAGACGTGAGGGCCTCTAGTCAAAGAAAGGACATTGTTTTGCAAGGTAAAGGAAAAGACTTTACTTTGGGGATCCCTTTCCATCTTAGCTTAATTTTTTCACCAATTTTAGCTCAAAAACAAACGAGGCATTAATGAAGGATGTGGCCGTTTCGGGGCTCGGACTTTCGTCTTTCGGTCCGACTGTGGCGTCCCCATTATTTGCCTACCGCATACCTTACAGCTGTCCTTTGCTTTGTTTAGGGCATTCCATTCTTCCCTATTTTAATGTCTCCTTTGACTCAACAACTCATTAAAGAAAAACATGGAATTTTTTGTGGATGCTCCTCTCTAATCTCTATTGGTGTTAGATTAGACGGATTATGTTGCATTCAACTCCTAAATATGATTCAATCTAAGTGTCTTACATCTTAATCTAATGATCCTTACACATTTTAAATTTTATTATGGTATCGAAACACGTTTAAACTCACTTTGTTTATTAAGATATCCATCTAGACGTTTATTCCTAGTGGTCCTAATCTTTAGCCCAGTTGCCTGTATGCAATACACAGCCAACAGTCTGCGACCAATTTAACTCGATTGTTCATTTAGAAATCCATATCCAACGATTTAGATTCCTTCAAGTGTTCAAATATTTGTTTTAGGGGCAACAAAGTTCATTTGTAAGTGGTCAATGTAACCAGTTATATTCAAAATAACCTGATTCACATCGAAAGTTGAAGAGAAAAATAATCAGTATATACGCTTTTAAATTAGACTATGTTATTGTTTGGATTCAATCTTTTTAATTTGGTCCAACCAAAATCTCTAAGTATCTTATGGCTTACTCTAGTGATTCCTACACATTCTAAACTCTTTCAAGTAACTTATTATTAATAAGTAATTTTTAACTTAGAAATGGCTTATTAGTTAAATATTCTTTTGTGAAAATAGAATGACTTAAATGAGAGGTAAGTCATTTGGCAATGTTTGTAAAAGGGGAGGGATAATTTTGTAAATAATTTAGTCAAAATAAAGAAACAAAAAATTGATTAAAAAATAAGTAGGTCAGACATACTTTTTTTATAAACATTTTATAAGTCAGTTTATAAACAAACAAAATACATTGTCAGATGACTCATAAGTTAATACGGAGTAGCTTATAAGCACAAGCGATGAAGATATGGGCTCTACCACCCGAACTTATACTTACTAGAGTCGATTCAGAACAAGGATCACGTCGCTGGGCTTGCATGCTCGTCATCCTCGATTGTCTCATGCGCCCCCTGTAGGTCCAAGACGATGCCCTCCTTCTTGAGCTCAACTTCTAAGGAATCATACAAGCTCTGTGGTCAAAGCAATGAGCATCATAGAAAGGCAACACATCAGGTTGTGGTCAACGAGATAAACATCATTAGAAAGTGATACGTCATAGAGGTAAAGGCGAATGTAGTTAATAAGGCACATGGTCCATGACATAGGATAGTCGGGCCTTGACCTGCTACCTGATTGTATAAATAGACTCCTTTGTTCAACATGGAGTGGACTAGATTTTGAATATTCAAGCATAATACATTGGAGTTTCTTTGTCTACTATTTCCGTCGCTCATGGTGCGAGCCGCGAGGGTGTCTGAATCATGTCTCGCGTTGAAAAATGTATCGAAGAGGTTGAGCGTGTCATCGTGCATGCAAAATTGACATCTTCCTAGAACTTACAAAATTAATTAAAAAATCAAGTTCAAACAAACGCTTCTTATTTATTCACTTGGTTAGAATAAAGACTATTTGAAGAAAGACAAATTTTATAAGGTAGACTAAAATTTCATCATAGATCTACAAATGAGAAAAATAAGTATTTAATTATTATTTAAAAATAAGTATTAATTTTTTTTAAATAAAAAATTAATAAAAATAATATGCACGCAATGTGCACTATAGATCCGCTTTGAGATGAAGAATTGTTTTTAGCCAAATGCATTGTGTACTATACGAACTAAAAAAGGCTACTCCGTATATTGGAAGAAAGAGTACCACTCATACTCTTGGTGTTTTTCTGACGTGTGACGGTATACTGTACACTCATACTCATACTCCGTATATTGGAAGAAAGAGTACCACTCCTACTACTGTACACTCTTACCCGAGCGAGCTAGGGGGGGAGGGGTAAGTCACGTGATGGATGACGATAAAAAACACCCCAGACGTCTTACGCGCCACCTTGGACTTTGGGCCATGGACCTACGATTGGTCCTACGCCAATGCTTTGACGTCATCCCGCCGTCGACAAGTTCGAGAGAAATCTCAGACCACCTTGGGCTACGTTCCCACGCGCACTCCGAATCCACGACACGCACGCCCTCCGTCGTTAGTTCCCACGCGCGATGCTTTTCCCATCGGAGTAGTAACGCCGTGACTGGTGGCGGCGAGGCTCCAAATTTGAAAGGGGGACGGCGGAGTTGACGTGGAAGTATGTGGATGCATCGGTACTGGCACCACCCCTCTGGCGGCCGGCCCCTATTTGCACTGTCCATTTCAATGGAGGGGAGAGAAGGGGTGGCCCAAGTCTGGACCGTCACTATTCATCATACACACACAAATCTCCGGACCCACCTTGTTTGATGATATACACCGTCATTTAAATTTGAAGAATTTAATTTAATTAAATAACACTAAAACGTAATGATTTTTCTTAAATAGTACTCCGTACCACATATGTTTTTTTCCAATGCAACACTTTTAGTCATTATGTATTAGTCATTATTAAAGTAAATGTTTGTCATCACTAGACATTATTAAGTGCTATTTAGAAAATAAAACAATTTAAGTACTATTTAAGAAAATGACTTAAATTTTAGTATTATTTAGTGCAAATATTTTTTAACTCTCCACTCCCTCCCACCCAACAAAAGACACATTTCATTGGAATTTATCTATATGATACTAAAATATAATGATTTTTCATATTATATTTTTTAATTTTTAATGTATGCTTCCTGTTTAATATTCAATGGATATTGTTCAAGTAAATGTTTACCATTATTATACATTATTCAAGTAAATGTTTACCATTATTAGACATTGTTCAAGTGAATGTTTATTGCTACCGAATGCTGTTGTCGCTAGTAAACATTATATTATTTAAGTACTCCGTATTATTTAGGGAAGAAAAAATCAAGCCATGCTAGGGGTACCCATTTGTACAACATTGATTATAACCATTGATTTTTTTTTCATTTTTAATCTTTTTTCACAATTGAGATTGTGTGATAAAGATGGAGTGGTGTACATTTAACATACTCCCTCTATCCCCAATAGATCACAATTTTTTCTCTTCTCTCGAAAACTTTTGTTTATTTACGCGACCTCATTAAGTATTTGATAAAATAAAATATTTTTATCACCTCTTATCGATATACTAACTTTTAAATAAAATAATTTTAAAATGTGAGATAATTCTTCTCGTAAACCTCAATTTGTAATCAAAAAATTGGGGACGGATGAAGTATACTCTTCTAGAAAGTTTTAGGTACTATATAGAGAAATAAAAGACATTTGTTTTGGTACTATATTATTTAGTGTAAATTTCACTTAAAAATTACATGATTTTTTTAATTTTATTGTATAATTTAATTAGTTATTTGATAACATAAAATATTCTTATCACATCATGTTTTGAAGAACTTTTAACGTAATTTTTAAATATATTAGTTTTATTTTTAATTTATAAATCAATCTTTAAATAAAATAAATCAAAAGAATTAAAATTTTGTTTCATTTAACATAATGTGCCAAACATTTTGAAACAAAGAGATTTTTTTAATAATAGGTTTCCCAATATCGGCTCAAACGAATTGAAATGAAATAAATTATTATAATTTCAATCTCTTCATGGTAGCCGGATTTGTCACTTGAAATTTGTACTCTCATTTCCGCACCAAATATATATCACAAATAAATATATACTCCCTCTGTCTATAAATAAACTTTACGTTACGCGTTACGATGTTTGACTAAATTTATTTTTAAATTATTTTATATGAAAAATGGTGTGAAATTTTAAAATAAAAATCATTTATTAAAAAATTATATCAAAAGATCTATAAAACTAGAAATGACATGACTATATTATTTTATCAAATGAGTAACGAAAATAGGCCAACAAAGTGAATAAAGTTTGACCCTGTGAATAGTGAACGTACAGTTTATTTGTGGACGGAGGGAGTATATTAATTATTTGTGAGATTTACATACTACTTTTGTCTATAACTCTTATATATCTTTGAATACGCTCGATCCCGGAGGGGCGGGATAAAAGACGTCGATGTTCTCGGGTTTGCCACGGTCCGGTATCAAGACGACGGACACCAATGTAAGGTGCCCATTGATCTTTGGAGGATTTTAAATCGTTCACCGAAATGACAACAACTCAACAATTTCGAACATAGGCCTCCCTTCAACATTGCGGATTCCGATGACGAGGACCTCATTCCACGGCCGATCGAAAGAAAGAAGGCAAAATTCATTGCCTCGGGTTCTGGAGGGTCCGACTCTGTTTCCGTTTCTTCTCACAACGATATCGGTCGGACAGTGGTTGAACAGCTTCGGATGTTCAATATTCGAGAAGAAGAGAGGGCGAGAAGAAAGCAAGAGAAGGAAAAAATCAAAATAATGGAAATCGATCTTGATACGTTATCGGGCTTCAAACGTATGATTTTTGAGAGAAGACAAAAAGAGATCAAGACTAAATAAAATGTACCTTAGTTTTTTTATTAATATAGTTTTTAATTATTGTCACTTTAATTTTTTTTAAATTTAATGAATGTAAAATTTTTAATTATTGTCGCTTTAATTTTTTTAATTTCATGAATGTAATTTTTTTAAATTATTCTCGTTTCAATATAATTAAATAATAAAATAATTAAGTTTTATTAATTTAGTTTTAGAAGATGTTTATTTAAAAATGTAAAAAATGAAGATTTGAAGTCCCTGTTTGAAGCTTCAGAGCTTCAAATCCATTTCCAGTAAATTTATGAGGTAAGTTAAAGATGACATGACAGAGAGAAAAAGTTTGAAACCCCGAGGCTTCATATGTATTTTTAATGCTTTGAGTGTCAAATGTGGTGTATCCCAATCACAACTACACAAGTGATCATAAATTCCATCACATCAGACATTGCTAAAATCTAAAAGACCATCAATACATTAGTTTTTTAAAAACAATACTCAAAATAAAATACGAGTAATATACTCTAGCTACTCATATAGAGCTAAAGTAGAGATAGAGAGAGGGGGAATTGAAAGAAACCGAGTAGTGAAGGAGATAAATAGTATAGAGAGGTTAAGATAATTAAGAATATATATATATATATATATATATATATATATATATATATATATATATATATATATATATATATATATATATATATATACCAGATATATCACACCTGAAAGAAGCTAAGGTGGTGTTTCTTGTTTTTTTTTTACAGTAAAATTTACAGCAGCAGATGATGGCAGCCTACTATCCCAACAACCTTACCACTGACCACATTCAACAGGTCTTTCTTTTTCTTTTTCTTTTCTTTTCTCTCTTCCATTTTTATTTTCTTCACATCTATTCTCTTCTCCATTCTCTGCTGCTGCTCCTGCTCTGTGATGACTGTTCTCCCTGCTCCTCCTGCTCTGTGTCCCTGGGTTGGTGGGGGGCTCTTATTAGTTTTGTTTATTATGCATATAGAGATACCCTTTATTTCTGCTATCTGCTCTTCATCTTTATATCTATATATATACATATACATATATATACTCCAATATGTATCTTGGTTGGACCTTAATTAAGGGCACTTTCCATTCTCAAACCTTATGTTATTAGTCCCACATCTTATGCTGCTGATGCCTGAGGGTACATAAATGGTCCTAGCCTCCTCTTCTTGTAGGGTTTTCTTTTTCCCCTTGTTTGTAGACCTTGAATTTTCAATTTCTGTTTTTTTTATAATAAAAAAATAGCTTTATCTTTGTGTTTCAACTTTAATGATTTTTTTTGTCCTGGGAAACACCGAAACTGGGGACCAACTAATAATGTTTTTCTTTTTTTTTAAATATTAAGGTTACAATTTGTTTTTTTAAATAAAGAAAACTGTATCTGCATCTACAAGAACATATATGACTAGATTTTGAGCAGATGGTTTTGTCCTTTGGAATAAAAAAATTTTACCTGAGAAAATTACAGTTCATGCTTATAATTTGTTAAAAATTAAAGAAATCTAGATATTTTATCTATTTGTAAATCACTATGAGTCATATATATAGTCAATAAAGAAAAAAAGAAGAAGATATATATATATATATAAAGTTCCTCAGCAGTTCCAATATAAGTAAGGGTTAGGTCAGTTGTGGTAATAAACTTTTGTTGCTTATAAATATATATCATTATACCTACTAAAAAATATCATTCTTTAAACTGATTTTCTCCAAATTGGTTCATTAATCTCTCTAGAGGGCTCCAATTTTTGTATAACTGTGTACATTAAATGTTTACTAACATTATTATTAAGCTATTAATCATTTAATTTGCTTGTTTTTTTATTACTTTTTTGTGGACAGTATTTAGATGAGAACAAATCTTTGATTCTGAAGATTGTGGAGAGCCAAAACTCAGGCAAACATGCCGAGTGTGCCGAGTAAGTATATATTTGTCCCAAAATTTTCCTCACAAAATGAGAACAAATTCAATAATTGTTTTCAATATTCCAAGCAAGTATATATTTGGTTATTTAATTACGGAGTATTTTATTTGCTAGGCAGTGTATATTTAATTTTATTTGCGTGTGTGTGTGTCTATATATATATATATATATATATTTGTGTGTGTGTGTAATAAAAAAATAGGATTAAAAAATAAGATTCCCTTTAAATTTGTGACAACATCCATGTCAGGAACCAAGCCAGGCTTCAAAGGAACCTAATGTATCTAGCTGCAATTGCTGATTCTCAACCCCCACCTCTCACCATGCATTCTCAGGTACTACTTGCTTGCAGTAATTTACCTTTTTTTCTTTGGACTATTGTTTGACTCTGAACCAGTAAAAAGATGAATTTTTTTTGGAACAGACTGCATTTCATAGAGAAATTTATTGGGATAGGTCTAAGGCTTTGTTTGAATGGTGAGAAGTGGGTGAAAAAGAAAATGTGAAGTGAGAAAAACACAATTTTCAATGTATTTTCTCTTGTTTGGTTACATACCAAAATGAGTAGACGAGAGAAAAAGTGGGTGGGTTCAAGTTGAAAAGTTTTCTAATCTTAAGTGGTGAGAAATGTAGATTAGGGAGAAAAAATAATGAAATTACATTTTTGCACATATTTTAATCTCTCATCGTCCATTTAAAAAGGACAAAAATGTCTTTTCGTTTTATCACATTTCTTTCTTCTCACTTTTTATCATTATTTTCTCATCATCCAAACAACTTGTATTATTTTACTTTCATTTTCTCTCCATTTTATTTTTTATCATTTTTTTCTGTATATTTTTCTTTTCTCTAATTTTCTCATACCATCCAAACAAAGGGTAAAACTTGAAGTATCATACTTTCTATGTTCTATCCCTAAATAAAAGTATGTATACTGTGAAACACCCACAATTTGGTATTCTTATTGACCCTTCACAATTTTTTTCCTGCTATAATAGAGCATGTTTTAGTCTTTATTAGGTTTAAGTTGTTGTTTTTTTATCCTTTCCTTTTTCTGTTGTTTTAATGTGTAATTCAAAATACTATGTAAATAACCAAAACTGCATAAAAACTCATTATGAAGGATGTCCCAATTTTGACACTTTGAATGACATTTGTCTTTAGTTTTTTACGCAGTGGAATATAATAAGAGAAATTTACATAAATAACACTAAAACATAATGACTTTTCCTAAATAGCACTTTTAGTCATTATCCATTAGTCATTATTTAAGTAAATGTTTGTCATCACTGATTATTATGGATATTATTAAGTGCTATTTAGGGAATAAAATAATTTAAGTGCTATTTAGAGAAATGACTTAAGTTTTAATGCTATTTAGTGCAAATATTTAATATAATAATTGTCTCATAGAAGACTATATATATATTTCTTTGGGTACAAATTTACATATAGTTATTTGTAATACTTGGTGTTAAATTTTGGGCTATTTTGTGGTTTTTAATGCAAATATTTCTATTTAGTGTAAATATTTCTATTTTGTGACACTATGAAAGAGATCTTGTTTTTTCTCTTATCTTCGTCAAAAATAAGATTTAAAATAAACTAACTTTCTAAATAAGAGTAAAAGATAATAAAAATTCTAAAATGAAAATAACATTCTAAAATGAAATTACACTCTCACCGTGTTGTTAATAACTCCCAACTCCCACTCTAGCTACGCCGCCAGTCGTTGGTGTTGACCACCGTTGACCGGTACTCCACTCTAGCTATGGAGTACTGCATGTACTATAACAGGGACAGGATCTTATTTAAAAATAAAACAGTGATACTTGGATCTTGGTGGTACATTTTTTATTTAAGATGTTAGAAAAAGCACAAAATAAAGTTTATTCAATTATTTTGCTGCAGTATGGCACGGCGGCGGGAGGCGGGATGGTGCAGCAGCCGCAGCCGGGGGCGCACTACATGCAGCAGCAGGGGCCGTCGCAGCACGCGCAGCAAATGGCGGCGACCCAAACCCTCATGGCGGCGCGCTCCTCCACGATGTACGGGCAGCAGCCGATGTCAGCCTTGCAGCAGCAGGCGGCGCTGTACGGGCAGCTGGGGATGGGCTCCGGCGGCGGGATTCAGATACTGCAGAGCGAGGCCGCCACCCACGGCGGCGGGGCCAGTTTCGGGGACTTCGGGCTGGGCAGCAGCGGGTACAAGCAGGAGATGCACGGGAGCGGAGACGGCGGACGGGCGGGGAGCTCCGGCGGTGGCGTGACGGACGGAGGGGACACTCTGTACTTGAGATCGGCGGGCGGGAATCAATGAACGGAAGACCACCGTCGTGCGTGCGCGGCGGACGGCGGCCGGCGGCCTAGGTAGTGCATGACATGTAATGGAATCTAATTAATTAAGTTAGCATCTCATGTACGTTTTTGGACTTTGTGTTTTTTTGATCCAAGTAAATCTCAAACGTTTGGATGATGAGGTTTATGTGCTCTACTAATGTTTTTTTAGCTCCTCAACTTATTATGGTAATTAATGTGATCATGTGCGTCTGTTTGGTTAGTCAAACTTTCTTAGTCCAATGATTATTATATAACATGGCACGTCTTTTGTACGGAATATATCAAAATTTACAATATATAATTATATATGGTAGAGTCCCTCTCAAAGATTCTAAAATGGTTACGTGAAAAAAATAGAAGATTGACCAGGAAAAAAGTACTAGCGAAAGCGGCTTCACCACTCCTGTGATACCCCGAAGGAGCACTAATATTTCCTATTTCGTCCCTAGAGTTACGAAGTAAAAATTATACATTAATAAAAAATAAAAATTGTTGAATGGGTTGATATGTGAGCTGGACATGCGCCACTTGTGTTATTCACCGCCAAACATTCCTCGGTTTAACACGAGATATTATTTAGTGGAAGAAATCTAGTCACGGTGACCAATGTTCGTGAAAACTATCAAGTGTTTGACAAACCCGAAGATGATATTGTTCGCTTGGAAGTAGGAATCGGCTCAGAATGACGTGGAACGTGCGTTTGGAGTCTTGCAATTGCATTGGGCGGTAGTGAAAGGCCTCGCACGCATGAGTGGCTCGGAGGGTGTGCAAAGTGGCCAATCGCACAGGAGCTCTAAAATTTTAGGGCCCATATTTTTAAATTTGTTAATAAATTTAAAGCAAAAGTATTCTAAAAAAATAAAATAGGGCCCAAAATGTAAATTTTGGACCGGGCCAGATTTATTTTTTCATTTTTCAGGGCTGGCCCTGCTCGCACGTTCTTGGTGCTGATCGTTCATCTCGGACATCATATATGCATGTGCTATACTGCATAACATGATAGTCGAAGATGAAAGAGACAACATCGCTCGTTTTGCAGGTGATGGGGACACATCCATCCACTTCTAGATCAACGATCATCCGATCTCCACCAACTCAAGGTGCAGCTCCAGATTTACATGAATTTACACATTAACGTGCTACTATGCATGATGAAAGATCTCATCCTACACTCAAGAACAATTTAATCGAAAAAAATTGGACACACATTAATATTTTCCAACATTAAATTATCATTTTATAACTTTAAATTCTATTACATGTATTTTGTTTTTATTTTAATAAAGTCTATCGTTTTTTATGTTGTCATTACGTGTTTGATTAAATATGTATAAGTTTTTAAGTAAAAATGATGAATTATATAAACTAAGGCAGTGTTCCGTTCAATTTATTTTTCTTGCTTATTAGTTATTCTTATTAAAATCAAATCAGATCAGATCAGATCAAACCAAATCTAAAAAATTAAAATTAAAATTATTATTATTATTATTATTATTACCACTCTAATTAGTATTCTTATTACTATATTACTTTTTATATTATGATTATAATTATTATTACTATTGTTATTGTTATTATTACTATTTATATTCATAATATTATTTTTGTTACTATTATTATTACAATTATTATTATTATTATTATTATTATTATTATAATTATTATTATTATTACCGTTACAATTACTATTACTATTATTATGGCTATAATAATTATTACTATTGTTACTACTACTACTACAATTATTATTATTATTACTACAAAAAACTGCTAAAATCGCGACAGAATTATTCCGTCGCCAAAGCCTGATTTCCGTAGGGAATCGGCCTAGCGACGGAAACAACGATGGTTTGTATTCCGTCGTTATTTTTTCGTTAGTAAAAAGTTTAACGACAGATTATTTAATCCGTCGCTAGGCTACGACGGAATTAGCGACGGAATGAGGCGACGGAATTAACGACGGAAAAATTCCGTCGCTGAGATTAACGATGGTTTTAGCTACCATTTCTGCATTTTGACCATACAGTGACGGAAATGATATTCCGTCGCCAAATCCGTCGCCAAATCCGTCGCCAATTTTATAGCACGAGTACAGAAAGCTGCCATTTTTTTGATTTCACACAACATCCATAGCAGCGTGCTCTAGCCCAGGAATCCACAACATCAAACAACAACAAATACTAGAAATGAATAATACCAAACAACCAAGAATATTCAAATCAGCAAACTACAATTAAAATTCAAATAATATTTATAAAAATTCAACTTAAGAATCAAATCTAACTCCACTTACATAACCATCAAACTTAAGTTTAATATAATGTTCTTCAATTCTAATAAAATATTCAACAATCGCGTGCAAACCCCGTATCTCATCAGGTCATCTCTTCTATAATCGACAATAGTTCACGCACTTGGGAAGCTCTAATGTCGTCTAGCTCTTCACTCAACCTTCGTATCTCATCATCTTGAGGGTCTCACATAGAGATGGTGCTAGCACGTCTTGCCTCACTTGCATGCATTCATGGTAGGCTTCGTGCGAGATCTCCAACACAATGAACACGATTTTTGGCATCACGTCCTCCGGCTGTAGATATAAAAATCTCGTCACGTGTCACATTTAAGCATTATTCTCGAACTGCCTCCTGCGTGACTACGTAGTTTTGCTGCAATACACCAAACATACATGTATATAGATTAACATAAAAAGCAAAATAAGTAGAGTAGTATGAATTCACATCCAATTGAATTCAACGAAAACTAACCATTTATATATACAACATATATTCATTGTCACTTACTGATACTTTTTCTGCCTTCTTAATGACATAGGTCTTCCCATCATGTTTCTTCGTATGTGTGTGTGTACGAAGAGTACAAGTCAGAAGCTTGTCTACTTTTACCCTAAAACAATAAAATATATAAATAAGTGTAAACATGTCAGTTAAAACATTGAAGTGAAAATAATGTTACTAATAATACTTACAAGGCGTGCTTGAGACTTCGCGAAAAGACAACAGACCACCGGTGTGCGTGGCGCTAGCAGGGGCATTCTCGTCACCATCACGACGATTTTTCTTGTTTTGCTTGGAGGATGCCAAGAACTTTGCCGTCTTCTAATACTGTTTAACAACATTTAATACAAATATACAAATAGAAATTCAATAGAAATTTTGAATAGAAATTTTAACATGTGCAAATTTCACATTCCAGACTTGAATCTAAGTTTGGCGCAACTCAATTTGTATTTATAAAACCCAATCTGTATTTATAAAACAAGAACTACCAAGTCTTTTATACATCCAATTCCGATTTTTGTGAAAGTCACTATTCTTAGAAATTCATAAAAATAAAATTAACATACTATTAAGTTATAGAATTAAAAAAAACATTAAAAATATAAATGGAACAACCTCAATATTCAATAACATACATAATACATATACAATCTTCATATAACATTAATAATATCCAAAATATGTTATTAAACAATTAATTAGCATAAATTCATTCCTCATATAAAAGTTACAATATATAAATGATTAATAAGCACAATATTCATTCACTAAAACTTTCAAGAATATAATTATTTTTTTTTTAAAACAAATGACTAAATTTTGAAAAACAAACCCTAATCTAAAATAATTATAAAATTAAAATTAAATTTGTAATAATAAACAAAATATGTTAACTTAAAACCCCTAATGTAGGCAATACAATTATAATTAAAAACAAACTAATTCAGAAATTGAAATTGAATAAAAGATGAAAAATGAAAAATAAAACCTGAGATTTCAAGTGGACGGTGACGGAAGATGGGTAGATGACCGGCGGTTGATGGTGGCGGACGGAGAAGATGATCGGACAGCGACCGGCAGATGATGGTGGCGGAAGGCGTCGCGGAGGAGACGAAACTAGACAACAACTCTTTGTGGTTTCTGTCAGCGAAATCGAAGAAACTGAGAGGAGTTCCCGTTTTTAGATTTGTTTTTGGCGACGGATTTAGCGACGGAATTTTTCCGTCGCCAGCTCAAAACGCAGCGTTTCAATTATATTCTTTTACCGACGGAATTTTTCCGTCACCAAACTAACAAAGGAAATATTCCGTCGTTATTTCCGTCGTCTAATATGCCGCGCACTACCCCCCGCAAATACAGAGCGACGGAATACTGATTCCGTCGTTAATTTTGGTAGGCGTAAAATTCCGTCGCTGAATCCATCGTCGTTAGCGTCGAATTGCATTCCGTCGCTATAATCCGTCGTTTTTTTCGCGTTTTCTTGTAGTGATTATTGTTGTTGTTGTTGTTACTAATATTATTATTACTATTACTATTATTATTGCTATTACTATTATTATTAGAATTATTATTACTATAGTTGTTATTATCATGACTATTATTGTCACTATTATTATTATTATTATTATTATTACTATTATTATGAATATTTCTTTTACTATTATTATTATAACTATTATAATAAAAATTTTAATTTTAATTTTAATCAAACTCATATGAGATCGATCCAATGAGATCAAATCAGGACAGATCAGATAGGACCAGACCAGAATCACCAGATCAGATGTTACCAGAATAGATCAAACCAGATTAGATCAGATTAGACCAGATCAGATCCAATCATATCATATTAGATCAGATTTAATTAGACCATATCAGATCAGACTAGATCAAATCATAACTTCAAAGAATCAGATCAGATCAGATTAGATCAGGCGAACGGAACGGAAGTTTTGGAATCGACTTCCCAAATACTCCCTCCGTTCCTTATTATTTGTCCACTTTTGACTTTTTTGAGTCAAAAGTGTTAAACAATGACATCAAATAAAATAAAAATGATACCCCCTCCGTCCTAAAATGTTTGTCCCAGTTATTTTTCACATGGTCAAACTTTAATCACTTTCTTTACCTATTTTCATTAAGTATTCGATAAAATAATATAGTCTTGTCACCACATGTTTTGTAGAACCTTTTTATGTAGTTTGTAAGTATATAAATTTTATTTTTTAATTTCAAACCTACAATGAAATAAATTGAATTGAAAATAAAGTCGGTCAAATATCGTTAATACAAACGAGAAGAACATTATAAGACGGAAGGAGTATTAGATATTGATACAAAAATAATTAGATTTATTATATCAAATTTTTTCAAAATATTATTTTATTTAATTAATATACAATATTTATTTTATTTAGTTATAATTAATTATAAGTGATTCAATGAAAAAAGTTAAAATGGGATAAATAGTTAGAGAATGTTAGACTAATTTTTCATTCCAACCAAACAAAAGTTACTCCGTGAAACGGAGATCGGACGCCGTTCAAAGATTCAGTCCGATTTTCTCTCCTTAGCCGTCTCATCCAGCACCGCACGGTGCGCCACTGCCACCATTGACGGCCGTCGCCGGAAACCCAGTGCTCAACATTGGCTGGGATTCAAGTTTTGCCTGCCCCGCGAGAAAATCAAATGGTATGCTGTTTCCAGTTTATATCGAATCAATGGGTTATGTTTCAAATATGGATGAAATTAGCATTGTGTAACTTGTAAATGAGTATTTGTCTCATGTTCATACCTTCATACTCTGTATGTATCATATATGAATAAAGCTTTCTTATGAAAATGCTAGCACTAATAAAGAAAGAAATAAAGTTGCTGACTTCTTTCTTATGCTTGACTTCATATTGAAATGAATGCAATATAAACAACTCTTTAAAGAATGTTAACTTGAGATAAATTTCTTGCTGTTTATAAAATAAATAAATGAATAAATTGAGTTTGAACAAATTTATGGATAATTATCCCACGTCGGTCGAAATGGGGCTAATCCTTCAAGCTCGCGTTTGAGAAAGGAAGAAAAAATTCTTATGTGCACAGTGTATTAAGATAAACATTTATTTGATTTATTAAGATAACCATCTTGCACTGGTTAAACTCTATGTAGTTAGTTTAATTCCATCTTTTCTTTTCACTCAAATTTTCTTTACCTTCATGCTTTCTTTCCCTAATTCCATGTCCCAAACCGAACCTAAGTCCTTAGAAGAATAAAGATGTTTGACGGAGTATTTGATTATTTGTCTTAAGATGGTAGAGAAAATGAAAATGAGAGAATATTCTAAAGGGAAACTTTGGAGTGTTTGAGCTTATGGAATTTAAGATAATGTACTCTCAATTAGTACTCATAGCTTATATGTAGTTTGAACTAGTAATTCAGACAGGATCTGTTGATACCACTCACTGGTGTCATCATAGGGCGATTTAAGGGCCTTATAGTGGAGGTAAGGTTTGCGTACACGCACCCTCCCTAGACCCTGCGCTTGTGGGATTCTACTGGGTTGTTGTTGTTGTATAGTGCTCCGTTTGGCCCGGGTTCTATCCCTTGACACTTACTGTAGCAAATCGGTGAATCCAGGGGAGGCTGGGGCGATGGGAGTGGGGTGGGGGGCTGTGGGGGGTGGTACCCACTCTGGGGCCCAATGGAGCACTCTAGGAGTTTGGAGTCATGATATGACACCCAAAACTAGTGTCAAAAGAACCGTGGTCTTAGTAACCATACCAAAATCTGCATTTTTCTTCTTTCTTTCAAGTTGATCACCTTCCCTCCCCACCTTCCATTTGTGGCTTTGGCAGGAAAAAGAAGCAAAGAAAGAAGCTTTTAGAAAGTATCTGGAGACGAGCGGAGCTCTTGATAGTTTGACAAAAGGTCTTATTACTAGATACTAGTCTTCTTGTATCGTCGTGTTTGAGCTCTTGAAACCAATCTCTCTACTTTCGAGTAGGGGTAAGGACTTAAGGTCTGCGTACACACACACACACACTCTCCAAACCTTACTTTTTTGTGAGATTTTATTGGGTTTTTTGTACCATTCTTCATCCACGAGAGGGTTAGTAGAATCATTGCTCTTATCATTTCTCTTTTGTAAATGTCACCAACAAAATCTCATTTTTCTTCTCTTATTCATTGTAGTTCTTGTTGCACTGTATGAGCAGAATGACAAGCCGTCTTCTGCAATCGAGTAAGTGCGCATGAGGTTTAACCCTACATGCTCTCATATAATCTGCTGTCTAATGCCCTCTTCCACCCCTGGTTTGTCTTTGACAGTTTCATCCAGCAAAAGCTGGGTGGGCCAACGCTGTCGGATTATGAGCAAATACAAGCTGAACTCTTGGATTTGCAGATCAAGTATAATGAACTTCTAGCAGCACACCAGGAAAAATGCAAAGAGGTACACATGTCCTTCGCGGCGTTACTTTTGTTAGCTAAAAGATTGAATTTGATCGATTAACTGGTTCAATTCAAAATTTGGTTAACCTGTCATTCTTCTGTTAGCAAAACATATCTCAACCCTTATTTTATTAGTTCTTGCTTCTTGATTCTTGGCCATTCTTTTGCCATATAATCCTCCAGTCTCCTCTGCACTGTTAATGCAGTTGGAAGAACTGAAAAAGTCTCATGCCGAAGAAGCTGCCAAGGAGGAGGCAGATGATTGTCACGATGCGGAAATGTCTACTTCGGGTGTATAAACATCTTCTTGTGGTAAAGAAGTGTCTGAAGAAGAAGAAGAAGAAACTTTTGTGCCTTGAAGAAGTGTTATTTCTCATTTCTGCAATCATGTTTGGCTTTGTGTATCTTTGGTTTGTGTTTGCAGAACACACGTGCAAGTTTACAGATTTTGTGTGTGGTATTGTGAGACCATGATACCGAAAAATGTGTTGTTCAAGGTTCCACGTTAAGTTATATTTATAATTTAGTGGAAAAACTAATTTTTTGAGAAGAGTTATGCTCCCCCGTTCTAAAAAGAACCTCACTGCTTGATTTATTTTATCAACACTTTGACAACAAATTAAATAAAGTTTTAAATAATTAAATGTTATAAAAAATTGATATCTCAAAAGTATATTCTACATTATACCCAGTAGTTAAATATATTTTTTTCATCATTTGTGGTCGAAGTGTAATTCAGCTTGATTGGAAAAAGTCAAAATTGTGATGTTCTTTTTGGAATGAAGGAAGTAGTTTTTGTCTTTAAAATTTGCATCAAATTTAGAATAAAATAGATTCAAAATAACTTCATCAAACAAGTGATGACATAAACTGTATTACTCAGTGAAATTTTGAATGAATATATTGTTTAGATATATGAAGTATGACCAACAGAGAACCATAATTAAAGCACCTCGTATTCAAGTCAATGAAAAATAGTCATAGTAAAAGATTTGATAAACCCAAGTTATATTGACCTTGTCATAATATAACCTTGGATACATACGGTATTTCGTTAGTAAAATTGATAGTTCTATCCATCTTCTGTCCCCTGCCCAAATCAGCGATTTAAGAGGAAGGAGGAAGGCTGATTAGGGTAGATGCAGGGTGGTGTTAGAGGTAAAAACCATCAATTCAACCAACAACGCATTGTAGATGTCCCAGTCATAATACGACCGGCCACCCAATGTCAAAATATTCTTGCCCTTTGATAAAAATGTCGGCTCAATTAAAATCAAACCAAAATGAAGTTTCTATGATCTTCTGTTTAAAATCTTGATGGCTCATGTCCACAGTCCACTACCTCTTCTTGTAAACTCTCCTCCCTTAACTCAACCCAAAGTACTCCATTCGTCCCAAAAATTGTCCTAATTTTACTTTTATGATAATTTAAATTATAAATTATGATTCTTTTTAATTCATAATATAAATTGAGTGCAATTGGGTTTGTTTTAATATATAGCTTTGAATTTTGATATCAAATTTTTAATACTCCACGACTTTAACATTTTATTGAATTTTTTTAATTTTTATTTATTTGAAATTACAGTCCTTAATTTATGGTCAAAATTAACATAAAAGTTAAATTAGGACAATATTGTTGAGAGGAGAGGGTGCAACATCAATTTATATGATTCCAGCAGTATTTCACACTAGAAAAGATAAAGTGGAACGAAAGTCAACGCTCATATCCAATCCAACGGCGGTTATTTGGCAGCAGAGTCAGACACTCTTATCCACGCCGCTGAATTTGAAAACAGAACATTTAAGAAATCAATAAATAAAGGGAAATTTCAGAAATCAAATTATTAATAATTTCCGAAATTCAGAAAAATTAAAAAAAAAATTATTCCCAAATCCAAAAATTCTCCGCCCATGGAGCCGAATGAAAGCACTGGGCTGGGCTCTTTCTACCACCACCACCAATCAGTCCACCAGTCCTCCGCCGCCGCCGCTACCCCTACCACGGCGGTGCCACCCACCAATGGAATTGTGCCGAACTTTGGTGACAGCAACCCGGCCGCCGCAGCCGGAACCACCGCTTCTCATATGGCGTACCCTAGTTCGCTGCAATCGGCTGGGTCGCCTCCGACGGAGGCCGTGAAGAAGAAGCGCGGGAGGCCTAGGAAGTACGATACTCCCGAGGAAGCGGCTGCTGCGAGGCGGGCGGCTGCCGCTTCTAACACTCTGCCCAAGAAGAGGGATCAGGTGCAGTTGGGCGACGGCGGAGTACAAGGAGACGGCGGCAGTGGTGGCAGAGCGCGAGGAAGCGGCGGTTCTTCGTACGCTTTGAAGAATCACCCGTTTTCTGCTATTGGTAAATTTCTCTCCCCAATTCATTACTTGACCTAAATTTGCATTTTCTTGCATTTTCTTTCTTCTTCCAATGTCATATTTATTTTTAATTGGTAGAGTATTTGAAATGGTCAATAGTTTTAATTACCATTTGGAAGCATGGAACCATAACAGTGTTGAGTTTGGGAAAATGCCTTGCTGGCTTGCACTAACATGTGTGGATTATTAGGTTACTATCTCTGTCTTCCCCTGTTACCAATTAGATGATGAAGATGAAGATTTTCCAAGAAAAAAAACCTGCTCAGTTAGAGAGAATTGTGTGGTGTTATAGGATTGGGACATTGGGTTCATGTCATTGCATTTTGTTTTCCCATTGTAACAGTATTTTGGTTTGGATTTGTTTTGTCTTGTCTTGTTTGATTGTTGGTTTTTTGATCCATATATGACATATATTTGTAATTGGAAAACTTCAATTGTTTCCAAGGGCTGTATGATTATTACGGAGTAGTAATTAATTGGGGTAGAGGTAAGGACTGGTATGTCTGGTTTGGTTTTGTTTGGTTTTACATTGTCATGGTAATTGGTAACAAGGATGTGCATTTTCACCTATGATCTCTTTTACTGGTGCAGGTGATTTGGGGAAAGGGTTCACGCCTTATATCATAAATGTGGTTGCAGGAGAAGTATGTTCCAAGACCTGTTTTACATCTCCTTTTCCTATGTGTAGTTTAATTCTCTTTTAAGCCATCCATGTTCATCTATATTGCCTTGACTATGCGTTTGTGCTATTGAATTACTCATAATCTACCTTTAAGACAGGATGTCTGGTTTGCTTTTAATGGTTATGTCTGAAACTTATAATTTTGCTGCCACCTTTGTAGAATCTACGGAGTATTGTGGAGTAGTAATTAAGTGATACGGAGTACTACGTAAGTAATAATTGAAAATGACTAATGCGGTAAACTGATTTTGTTTACACCAGAATTCCCTATTCGCTCTTCCACTACTCTCCATTAAATGGAAAGGTGAATTATGATTTGTTTTTTGCTGATTAGAAAAAGGGGCCCTACAAGGCTACAACCAATAGTATGATTCCTTGAAAGCATACTTCAACATGACTATTTTTACTGAATCAATGTACTCATCAATTTTGTTATTTAATTAGTAAACGATTTGTAATTATGAAACTGAAAGTTTGTTCATCTGGAAGGAACACATGGAAAAAGTGGTCACATTAATTACAGATTTTCTATCATTCTCGTACGTCATTGGCAAAGCTTGTTGGTTACCATGTGATACCATGTTACAATAAACTTCTATATTACGATTGCATTTATACGCATTATCACGCTTTATAAATAAAAGCAAAAAGTTGTTCACTCTTATGTGTGTTTCACTGTCCTTTTTATGGCATATGGTAGGACGTGAGCAACAAAATAATGACATTCATGCAACAAAGCAAGCGTGACATATGCATCCTCTCAGCATCTGGGGCAGTTTCGAGTGCATCTCTTCTCCAACCTTCAACTTCAGGAGGCAACATTACGTATGAGGTACAAGTTTTTTCTTTTCTTTTTAATTTTAATTTAAAATTGGGTTGTTATTGAATGCGCTTTTGGAAAACACCATTATGTCTTTTATAAACTACTGCGTATACTACACTAAAGTATAACTGAATATAAAAGTCACTCTTGACAAGCTCCTCCTGTTTTTTTTCTTTAGCTACCACACTAGTCTAAAGATCCTTTTTCCACAATGATCTTTTGGCATCTTTAAGTGGGACAGAGAACAGCTTATTTGTATTTTTTCTTGAATCTTTAGGATATTAGCTTTACTGCAGAAATAGATTTTAGCTGACTGTCACACTGTATTATACTCTTAAAATTTGTCCAAGTGTATCCCCCCATTCTGTTCTGCTTCTTTATCAGCAGCTTTCATAATTGTCTTCTCACTTAATCTGTATATTTCAATTGTTTAATTTCTTTTAAAATTCAGCGTCATTCTTCCATTAAACCAAGCATAATGGGACTCTTTATCAACCCAAAAAGTTTTCTATTTTCTGAAACATGTTTACCTTTTCTGCTTTCCAAATTCAAGACATAAAAAAATGGAAGTAGGTTTACCTCACCAGTTTTTCAAATTTTGTAAACATGAAACAGCTCTTCAGTTTTTTAGAAAACTAGAGAACACTTTTTTTTGTAATGTTTTCCAAAGCTAAAACCAATCACTCATGACAATACAGTCACCTGTGCTCCCCACTGATGGGGATTTCCAATCTTCCATAAAAATTAGTAATTTCCCACCTCCATTGTGGTGATCCCCACCTGGCCACCCACACATTCCTACCCCACTTGACCATCAGCTTCACTACTAGTAATCATTAAATTTGCTGACAATCACCGTCAATGACTACCTTTTTGTTCTATCAACTCTCAATATCGCCGGCAAAGACCGCCACCACCGACCACCAACATCTTTGCCAACCACTTGTGCGCTAGCGTCATCACCCATCATTGGCACTGGTGTTGATTGCCGCCACCTCCATCAACAACTGCAAGTGGTCTTGACATTACATGTATTTAGAAAACTGAAAACAAGAAAATAACAAACTGGAACACCGAAGACACAAATTCACAAACCCAAATTTTTTGAACTCTTAAATTCTGTCTCTTTGCTTCTCCATTGCTCCTTCACACCCTTCTTTTGAAGCAAACTTAGGGGCTGTTTGTTTCAGCCTCTTAATGGTTCAGATGTCTGAATGGTTCAGCACTTAATGGTTCAGACTGTTTGTTTCAGCCTCTTAATGGTTCAGATATTTGAATGGTTAAGAGATTTGCCTCTGGATGGTTAAGTATTATACAGAGTATGAATGGTTAAGACCTCTTATCTGAATTGATCAGACATTTGCCTCTGAATAGTTAAGCAATATACTAGCTCTTAATGGTTCAGACCTCTTACTGGTTCAGACTTCTGGTTCAGCACTTAATGGTTCAGACTTCTTACTTCTTACTGGTTCAGCACTTACCCATTCAGAAGTTGCCAAACAGCCCCTTACATTTTATAATTTCTTGTTGGACCCAGTGAGCCACCTAGTCCAGTCCAGTCTATGCATTATCAATTTACACATTAATAAATCTCTGAGATGTGTTGAATGTATGATGTACTTTATAAGTAATGAGATATAGTAAGGACAATATTTATTTCTTTCCATCCAAAGTAGCCGATTAGATATTTTCTTAGGCAGGATGAGAAATAGTTACATACTAAACAATTAGAGGTTGTTGGTTATATAATCTTTTAAATTCATTTCTTTGAAGCATGCTAGTAAATCTATAAGGCGTAATAATAAGCATTTAAAAACAGTTTTTTTACTGGATATTTGGTACCCTTTGCGACTAACAGTTTTGTGAATGCAATTTCCATATGAAGTTGTTGATAGAGCTTGTGTAGGATTATTAGGACCACTTATATACCTCTTATTGGATCTTCCTGTTCTTATTGTTCTTCAAGAGTAAGTACTATTTTCACTATATTTGGCAGGGGAGATTTGACATCCTTTCCTTATCTGGATCATATGTGCGCAATGGGCGTGGAGGGAAAACTGGCGGACTTAGTGTATGTCTTGGCAGCAGTGATGGTCAAATCATTGGAGGCGGAGTTGGAGGCCCCTTGACGGCTGCAGGCCAGATCCAGGTTTTTCTCTCTTTGTTACAACAATATTCTAGATGAATCCTTACAAAATTTAGCACTGAGAGAAGCACAAACTTGGTGGAGGTAGGGGAAGGAAGGAAGAATAATATGGTGGATCATCATGCCCTTATTTTGTGTAATAATATGTGGATGGTTTTAATTAACACGTAATTATATCGATCACAATACAAGGGGGAACAGAACACAACCAGCCCACATTTCCTCCACCCCATCTTATTATTTTTTGTTGTTGGCAGGTCATCGTAGGCACATTTGTTGTGGACCCAAAGAAGGATACAACAACAGGGGGAATGAGTCCCCAGGAGGCGGCGCCGCCTGCAGCGCAAGTGGGCGTGTCACCATTGCCGCCGGGTGTCGGCTTCCAGCCAGGGGGGGCAAATCCCTCTCATCAATTCATGGCACATCAGCAGCAGCAGCCGCAACAACGGGGGATGCAACCGATGCCCCTACAATCCTTCCATTGGAGGGGGGACGCAGGCCCCATGATGCACCACTCCCCAGAAAACGAGGACTATGAGTAAACCATGGGGGAGAGAGTAGAGAATCAGTCGGCCAGTCAGTCAGTCTTGTAGGTTCTCTTTTGGATTCTGAGAGGAACACAAAACTCAATTTTCAGCATCTGCCTGTGTCTAGTAGCTATAATAGTGTACAGGTTAGTGAATGCCTCTTCTTCGTCTTCGTCTTCCTCTTCTTTTTTACATCAGTATTGAGAAGATTTGTGGACCTCCTAGATTTTGTGCACTGCTATGTATGTTGACTGCGTTTATTTGACAGTGTTTCTAATGTTTTGTGCTTTTTTTTGCAAACCGATTTATATCGATATTGTTGCATGTATCGGAGTATCCAAGTTTTATTTATTCATTCTCTCGGGTAACTGTCCGGGCGGGGTTGGGGATTGCCCCGGGATCCTGAGATGGGGTTCATCATTCTTTAGGCTAAGCTCTCGATAATGTAGCAGATGTTTGTCCTGCTGGTCTAAGGGAATACTCCCTCCTTCACTTCATTTTTTAAGAAAAGTAAACTTAATTGTTTGAGATTTAGAGGGCGTTTGGTTGTGTGCTGCTTTTAATAATTTAGCTTCTGCTTTGAGTAAAAGTGATTTTACTCTGTTTGGTATGTCAGCTTCTGCTTTTCACCATCACTATTTTGTACATAGTGATTATGAGGTGTTTCTGCTTTTAGCTTTTGTGAAAATCACTTTATTCATAAGTTAATCACTTCCAAACATTCTCTTATAAAGAGGGGAGAGAATCAATATGAACTTGTGATTTTATTTCTTTCAAGGAATGAAGAGTTTTGTATTAATCTCTTTGGTAGATAGTTTTGGTATCTATTAAAAAATGTGGATAAGCATGGTTCATAAATAAGAAAATAAAAAACAAAAAACATTGAATGATATGTGTAATTATTAAACAAAAAATTAGGATTTTCGAAGTGCTATTACTTTTGATTTTTAGAACATTAGAAGAGTGTGTGAAGGGAGTTTATGTTTAAAAAGCAGGAAAAGTATGATCACAAAAAAGGAAGAAAAATTTTAAAATGCCAAGGGGGCATAGAGGCAGTAGAAGTTTTGGAAAACTGAAAACAAAATGAAAAGGATTCATATCCGATTTCGGTTCACGTGAGAATGCGATCTTATGAAAGAAATAAGAATGAATCTGGTGCTTTAGATTGTGGGATCTAAGGGTCAAGATTGCATCAAAATTAGGTGCACCAAATTGGTTTGAAAATGTATCATGTCGAAATGCATCAAAATCCCTTGAAAATGCACTATCTCAAAATCTGAGTGCAGGATGCAATCTGAGCCGCACGATGCATCAAATCTAAAGGCTAGATTTTATTCTTATTTCTTTCACCAAGGTGCATTCTCACCTGAACCGGCCCCTTCATATCCTGAGTAAAATATTAAACTTGTTGTCTCTCTTATATCACTCGGGCAAGGTTCTCATGACAATGCCCGACAATGTTATGGATGACCCGGGTGCGCTCCGGTGCCCCGTTCGTAAAATTAACGGTTTCTACCCCCTAACCCCCCGAAAAACCCCCCACTCCGCCCCGACCACACCCCCACCCCCTTCAATTACACCATACAAATTGATTTTGAGAGGTGAGAGGGGTGTGTTCGGGTCGGGGAGCGGTGGGGGGTTTACCTGGGTGGGTTAGGGGTAGGAACCGTCAATTTTACGAACGGGGCACCGGAGCGCACCCAGGTCATCCCATTACATTGTCGGGCATTGTCATGGGAACCTTGGTGATATCACAAACTCTCACACAATTATAAATATGTTAAAAAAATAATTTTTTTTTTGTGATTTTAAGGTTCATATGTAAAATATGGATTTTCTCATATGTTCATGATTTTGCAAGTGAATCTTCTTTTTTTCTGTAAAAGTTTTAATTCTTTTATGATATCAATATACTAAAGTCCATAAAATAAACATGAAACATAGTTTGAGACTTTGAGTAATGATTCACACATGTTTCTGTATTATATATGGTCTATTTGTCCCAATTTAAATTGTATATTTATTATTCGTATTGATAAATTTTAATAATTTTTAATCAAATTTTACCACTTATTTGATAAAATAATATGATTAATTCTTTTTATGTTATAAAAATTAGTACTCCGTATATAATTTCTAAATATAAAAAAAAAGTTTAATATATTTTTTTAAAATTAAATAAAAAATAATTTCAATTAAATGTAAGAATTTGAATTTGGGCAAACTCATCAAATAAGCGGCCCAGTGATAGGAAAACCCTAATCGCCGTCTTCGTCGGCTCCTTTAGAAACCCAATGTCAATTCTCTTCCTATTAATGGCTCCCATTATTTCGATTGCTGTTGAGGATTCGACGCCGAACGAAGAATTTCTCTCCGTATCTGGAATCTGAAAGTTTTTTTCTTCTACTTTTCTTCTGTGTGCTTGTTCATTTTGTCGTTAATTTTCAGCAAGACGAAGCGCAAATCAAGCGCTTCATGGGCGGATTGCAGCCCCCTGGGGCTCATGTATTGCGCAACACGAAATCGATTTCATCTTCTGAACTTCATCTTCTCCTCTTGAGCAGCTTTTTCTCAGGAGGATTCCAGAAGGAATCAACATTCTTCAGTTTCTGCGATTTTTTTAGAATTATTATTCACAGAAATTGCTAGGGTTTTACCAGATTCTCTAAATGGGGGGAAAGGAGAAAGCACATATCGAAGGCTTGACTGGTGATTGAAACCCGGTTCTGCTCAATGATTGTGCAATATTAATTTTTTTCTCTAAAATCTTCCTTGATAATAATCTACTTGATGACCATTCTGAAATTCTCAAGCAGATTCTTCATGGATGAACATCTTTTGGTCTTTTGCTTCCAAGCTTTAAATAGAGATTGATTGAAGTTTCTCTATAAGAAAGAAGAAAGTAAAGAAATATGAAGATTGTTTTGGGACATAATTTGAGCTTTCACAAAAGAATGGGTCTTCTATGGAGCACTTTAGAGACAAAAACGCAACTTATGGAAACTAATTTGTTTCTCCATTGATAAACATATGGCAAATTGGAAATAAAAAATTGTGAATGGATCAACATAAGGTGCAACATTTTCTTCTCAAGGTTGGCTAATAATAAGACTTTGATACAAAAAAGGGTGGCAATGTTGAGTGCACTTGGAAAATACTACTAGAACAAAGGTAGTGTTCATTATTCCCAATTCTCATCACTCAATTGACCATTATCTTCCTCCATTGGAGCCCTAACCACCAAAACCACCATTCCCAAACTCTCCTTAACTCCATTCTCCTTCAATGTCCCTCCTCTCACCACCTTCAACTCTGCATTTGAGCTCCCATTCCCACCTTCAAACCCCAAGTAGAAGCTGTTGTCGGAGACGACCTCTTTCCTCCGCCTGTCGGCCACCACCAAAATTGGGTCCCGCCGGTTCTTCTCGCTCTCTTTCCATGGCAAAATCCTCCCGTTCTCGAATCTCACCGCCACTCCCCCTCTGTGTAGACCGGATATCGGCTTCCATTCAGGTAAGACCACCCATCTCCGCCACTCCTTTTCCGCCTCCACTATCCCAAATTCCCCCACTCCGATGCAATTCCACGGTGCAGCCTCCACCTCCTCCGCCTCCACCGCCACCGGCAAGACCACCACGGCGGATGATTCCGCCACCTCTCCCAATTGCATTCTCACCAACGGCACTGTCACTTCATGGTCGTCCACATTGCTTTCCTTCTCTTCGGACTTGGTTCGGGACTTCTCTTCCTCAAGTAAAGCTTTTGCCGTGTCTGACACTGCAAACTCCAGAGCCTTCTGCAGAGATAGCCGCCGGAGCTCCTCCTTGGAAGCAGCTTCGTACTCCATCGCCTGCCGGAAGTAACTGAACGCCAGGCAGTCTCCCGGAGATTCCGGATCAAATCTCGCCCATCCGCGGTCCGCGCGCCTCAGGCGGAAATCCTTCATCGCTCTGGCCAATCTCTGCGATTGCTTCGCATCGGATCTGTTTTTTACGAGGAAATCTGCCGCCGCCGCGCGCTGGTCGGCCGTGAGGATGCGGATCTCGTAGAGCAGCTCCGCACCGCCACCCGAATCAAAGAAGGAGAGCGTCTCCGCGTCAATTCCGGGGTTCAGCAGAGATTCGCGCACCTGAGAAGCTACGACGAGGAGGTTCTGCTCGGCTCCCGAAATTCCGGCGATTTCTTCCAGCGTGGAAGGCGCGAATCCTTCCTGGATCAGTGAGGGAATCAGGGGAGCATATTCGAACCACGGCCCCAGACGGTTCGTGAGGATTTCGAGGCGGGAATTGGTGTCGAGGGAGCGGTATTTGGAAGGAACGGGAGAAGGCGGTGGCCGGAAAGGCTGGTATAGCTGTTTCCGTTCCGGCGGATTTTGGCCTGGCGAAGGCGGGAAAATGAGAGCGGCAATAGGTCTTCGCGAGAGAACTGGTATGGGGAAAACGGTTGGCGGCGGCGGCGGCGGCGGAGAAGGTAGGAAGGTGGAGGAGAGTGACGGCGGTTTTGGAATATTAACGGAGAGAGAAAGCATGGCGTTTGAGGTTCGAGGATACAGGAGGCTTATCCACAATCTATTTCCCGTGCCTCAATTCCGCGAGACGGCGAGAAGGGGATAGGATTGTCAAGGCGCTAGCAAGTACTAAATTGTTATCGATTTTTTTCGAAAAAATTGAGATTATCGATCTAAATAATAAGGAGTATCTAATTAATAAAATATCGAAAAAGAATCATAACAAATGATTGATCGGACATTTGAGATCGGCATGAGGTAATTATTCATATGGAAAAATTTTGAATCGAACATATATATAAAGGGTAAGGTTATAATGACATTCTATGACATGAGCTACATTTGGGATCCTTACTCCTTACGCTGTTTCATTAAAAAAAATCATGGTTCTTACCCTCTCTAATCTCCCTGCAAATTCCTTAACTCGGTTTGATTCGAACCCACTTTCATTCCTCCATTAATTGCATCCCACAAGATGTAGTTGACTTTGGATATCAAATATCTTCAAATTTTGTTCAAAATCTAATAATAATTTATTTTAATCTAAAATAAATTTGCTTAATTAGATAATAATTCAATAATATTTTTTAAGGTGTGTTTTGTGACGTTACACCTCTTCTATAATTGTATTAACGAAAAGATATTTGTTATAACAATAAAAAATATTTCATGTGTAAAATTTATTGAATTTAGGGTTCTTATTCATGAATTTAGGGTTCAAATATGAATTAAAAATTCTGTCTTTTCCGCCCGGAAAACAACCCAATTTTGACCTAGCCTAATTCAAGTTATGTGAGGCAAATTTTGAATTAATAATTTCAGGTTTGAATTGCGATTCAGGGACAAGTGCAATGTTATTAGAACCGGACCGGACCGGCCGGTCCAACCGGTCGGACCGCGAACCGGTGAGCACTCCGGTCCGGTTCAATGATAAAAACCAGAAACCGATCAACCCGCCCAAACCCGGTAAACCCGGCAGAACCGGTGGACCGGGTCGACCCGGCCGACCCGCGGGTTGGGTCCAATTTTTTTTTTTTGGCTATAAAATAAAATGTTGGAGTTAGGAATCAAACACTAAACCTCACCATACACCTGTCAAGACTCTAACCACTTAAGCTACTAAGTACTTGTTACCAAAATCATGCAGAATATATATAGTGTTTCTTATTTGTGTTGAGTGAATTTAGAAAATTTTTAACTATTTGTAAGAAAGAATATGTTTGTGTTGCGTAGTTATTTTATAATCTTTTAAAATATTTCNAATATTTCAAAGTAAAAAATAAATATTATTTTTTGTATTAAATAATACGGAGTAATGAATAAATTACATCTAAACAAATATTATCATCTATAAAATGAAGAAATACTCCGTATATACTAATTATATATTACAAAACATGGGAAGTGTGAAAGAATATATGAACAATAACATTGAAAATAACATGGAGAAGAAAAAACACAATATTAAATATTTTATTTAACATTAAAAATAATATTTACATCTTTCTTTACAAATGATAGGTATTTAAGTTATGTGGTATTATTTTATTATCTTTAAAAATAGTCCACAAAACATGGTATTATTTAATTTTTTATTATCTAAACATAAATATGAATGTTATATACCAAGGCATGGGTCGTTGACCGGGTTGTTGACCCGAGTCAACTCGGTTCAACCGGTTGATCCTTGACCCAGTAGCTTATCTGGCTCGACGTCCGGTCCGGTTTTCAAAACATTGGACAAGTGAGGAGGACGGATGGAGGAAGAAAGACGGAATCGTAAGAGGAAGAGAGGGAAGCGTCGCCGGAAACCCGCCGCTGATTTATCTTCGCTCCCCACCGCAGACAAGCACAAACCGGTCGATTCATCTTTGATTTCAGTCCCCCAGAGCAAAACAACATCTAAACCTAAGAAGACTTCATCTTTTATCGACAAGGTCCCCTCTATCTATATAGCTGTCTTTCTTTGATGAGAGCAGTTTCTTACAGAGTATTTCCCGTGGTAATGCAGATGAGGGCGAGATTGTCAGGGGGACACTTCCGTATGATTAACGAGAAGCTCTACACTTGCTCGTAAGCGAAAAAAATTTGCTGTTTTATGTAACAACATTGCCTATAGTTGAGTATTTTTGCTGAAATTATCCGATAAGAATTTAGTTTTGTGTTTCTTTAATTCAGTGGAGATGCTGCACTGAACTATTTCAAAGAAGACCCTCAGTTGTTTAGTGTGGTAAGCTTGCATTCTACCTTCGTTGGATCTTGTTTATGTCACCATGAAGCAACCGAATGGATCCAAAACATGTAGAAATGAAGTTAATCCCATGGCGGCCCGGGCGTTTGATTAACATTATTGCCGTGCTTGATTTGTAACTGTCTGCTTTATTTTAAATTGTTGGTGGAACTTAGAAGAAATAGTTGTGTATGATTATGCTTCTTTTTGTTTTAGTTACAAGTTTCTTTTTGTCGTCCTCTGACAATAGAGCTAAAAGAGTCATTGTTGAAAATGTTTTAGCTTTGGGTAAATAATGGTTTACATCAAAAGATTACATTAAACTCCCATTGTGCTTTACTTTCTGTTGAATGTTGGGCAGTAAATGCTGCAATGCGTGTATGCTACTGTTGCACACATCTTAACGCAAGACTCAAGCGGTGTTGGGATTATACTAGAGTTATTGTTGTTTTTTGTTGGGTGTGATTTTCTTTTCATAGCGAATGAGTGTTTCTTTCTTAAACCACTTGATTTTCATTTTTTTCTCATTTAAAACCGGCATTATATTGGCTGTCTATTTAACACCTGTTCTTACTTACATGGCCAGTATCATGCAGGATACCAAGAACAGATGTCACATTGGCCTGAACAGCCAGTTAATATAATTATAAAATGGATTAAAGATCAAGATCCTTCATTAGTTGTGGCTGACTTTGGCTGCGGTGAGAATTCAGTGTATATGAACTCATAAGCCTTGTTGCCATTATTGATATGCTGTGTATAATGCATTTTAAATAGTTGTGTGTGTTCATGTATCATTTCAGGAGATGCACGACTCTCAAGAAATGTGAAGAATAAAGTGTTCTCTATTGACCTTGTATCAAATGATCCTTCCGTAATAGCATGTGACATGTCAAATGTATGCGCTTCATGTGATCACGCCTCCGTTTAAAAAAAATTAAAAATGCTGTATCCAGAATACTTTTGGTTGAGCCTCTTTGATTTCCTTTTTAATTTTCCCAATTTTCCATCTGTAGACACCTCTTGGTTCCTCCTCCGTGGATGTTGCTGTCTTTTGCCTTTCACTGATGGGAATCAACTATCCAAGCTATCTTCAAGAAGCTCATCGAGTTCTTAAGCCGAGGCATGACATGCACTCTTCTATCTTGAGACATCATTCTTGTTTTTTGTTTTGGACAAAACTTTCAATATTATCAATAATCGTTCCAAAAACCTTACATCCATAATCAGATCCATAAACCAGGCATAGAATCATAAACCTTTAGTAAGAGTTTTACAAAGTGAATCATGTAATCAGCCAAAATCACATAAAACTAGCACATAGACTAGTAGAAAATAAAATCTCATACATAGACGATAAGAAAACATATATAGAATAGGAAGGCAACGGCTCTTCTTTAGAGGACAATAACAACTGAATAGCATACACCCCAACACCGCCATATGCGGTGCTTCCTTTACAAGTGGGAGAAGATGAAGGGTAATAACGACGACAGCCGTTTGTCAATTCTTTTTTTTGTATATTGTTCTCAATTGATGAGTAAATTATTTGACAATGTCTGTATATTTGCAGCGGATGGCTTTTAATAGCTGAGGTCAAGAGCAGGCTTGATCCAAATAATGGGGGAGCAGACCCTGGGAAGTTTGTAAAAGCTGTATGTGACCTTGGATATTCCTCTGTCAAGAAGGTTTGCCTCTTTTGTTTGAGTTTTCAGTAGTTTCAATCAAGATAAATAAACGGTAGTATATAGAATTCAAACACATCATATGTTTGGTTTGCAGGATTTCTCCAATAAGATGTTTGCACTCTTCTACTTCAAGAAGAAAAAGGTGATAGCATTTTATATCATTGATGATTTGACAAATGTTATTAATCTATAGTTTCCTAAATGTCTCAAGGAAGTTGGTTATTGTTGCAGGATAAGCAAAATCAGGGGGCAGGGGAATCGATTGGCCTGAACTGAAACCTTGCATGTACAAGCGCCGCTAAGTTATGGGCATCTCGATATTGGAATTGGAGTAATTCATGTTTGTATCGGCTGGTTTGAATGCTTGGATACGAAAACAACAACTTAGCCTTTGGGTGTCAATCCACTGTCAAAATAGGTGGAACTTTATGTATTTAACGCTCCATTTTTTTATTATTATAAAGAAAATCTCATTTTTAAGAGGATGATGATTATGTGTTCAGTTGTATGATGAACTCCAACTAATTGGTCACGCAAATCTGGGTTCATTTGTGGGGTTTGGTTGGTGATGGTAATTGATTAGCCAAATTTCTAGTTCAAAAAAAAAAAACTCTTAGCACACCAAGAATATAATTATCCAAAATTTCTTAATAATTTTTTTCCTAAGACCAACAGCTGACGAAATGAAGCCTTCTCCATGCTTCTCTGGATTATTTCTTCAAGATTTACATACTACAACTAAATACAGAGTAGGCGGCGGTGATGGCCGGAGCTGCTTTGCCGCCGCGGTGACGCGATAGAGAATAGGTGGCGGTGATGGAACAACCATATGACCTGAGCGGTTGGGCATGGGAGATGGTAACCATATTCCTCCTGCTCTTAATGATTGCTCATATTCATATGGTCTCCCGGCGGTCTCCACCACCACCCCACCCTCTGCCGCCGCTTCCACGCTGCCGCCACCACCGTAGCTCACCTTCTTCACATTCCTGCTCCTGCTGCTGGTGTCCAGTGCCAAACCATGGACCAAGATGATCACCATAACAAACGAGATGATATTCATCTTAATTACTGAAATACTCATTATATGTTCTTTTTTTTCTTTTGTTGTTTTTTTTGTCTCAACTAGGCATGAGTTTATCTGGAAACACACAAGCAATTTATGTAGTGGTGAACAAACGCGTCGGCGCCTACCATTCTTGACAAAGAAAAAATTAAGAAAAATGAGCATTTGCTTATTTTTTTAATTTAAAAAAAATAATATTTTGTGTAAAAACATATAGTGAAAGAAATAATTGATTCATGTGACAAGGATACATAGTGTAAGAAAAGAGAATACATGTAGTCTGTTGGATTTAGATAATATTTAGTCGAATAAATAGTGTTATTTTGAGACCTTGAAGAAACAAGAAATAATAATAATGTGGCGTATAAAATTTCACAATACACTTTGATCTTGGTGGTATAGTACAACAGCTACAACTCCAACATGATGAATGTATATAAATATATATCCCACCAAGTAAAAGTAACAGGGAGTATTATTCACTTCATCAATTCATTCAAAATCAAGTAGTATCTATTATTACTCGGTACAATTTTTTACATGCATTAAAAGTTGAATTAACATAAACATGAGGCATGATAATAGTCATTCAACTTTTGAAACATCTCAAATATTATACTCCAAGGGTGGCCCGAAGGGTGTGCAAAGTGGCCAACTGCACAGGGCCCCTTAAAATTTAGGGCACCATATTTTTAAATTTGTTAATAATTTTAAAGTAAAAAGTATTCTAAAAATATAAAATAGGGCACAAAATGAAAATTTGGGACCAGGCCAATTTTATTTTTTCATTTTTCGGGACCGGCCTTGTTATACTCGTAATAGATAGTGAATTGTGAATGAAGGGAATACTCCCTAGCTAGCAGCACACATCAAGAATTGTGAAAGTGATGTCAAAATTAGAATACCCCATGCAATCTTGATTTCTCCTAGTCCTAAGAAGAAGGGGCGGGCGGTGGTGGCGGCAGCAGAGGCACGAAATGACGACCGGTACTGAAGCGCGGGGTTGGAGGCGGCGACCCTCCGGCGGCACGCATCGTCCGATACTTAACGAGGATATCGTCTACGCCGGCCGTTGGTGGGAAGAAATGGTGATGATGAGGATGATGATGATCTCCTGCTCCCATGGCTGAACCATTAAGGTTTAGTAATAGCAGCAGCAGCAGCGGGAGCAGAAATGTTGTTTTCCCCATCATGGTGCAATATATATATATATATATATAAGTAAAACGGAGTATTAAAAGCTTCCAAAGTGCACTTACAACTTATGTAGCTCTAGCTAGAGCTATTTAGTATATATGGTCGATATATGGTTACTGTTTAATCAGTCACTACTCGTTTACGCGTTTGTTTGCAAAAGTCAGTCAACTGCTGGCGTACGTCCCCAGTATTAAATTTATTTTTTTAACTTTACTCATACACACATGCACACATACTCCATATTATTTTATATACGGAGTATTATTTATTAATGCAATTTTTCATTATTAATTGATTGATGTATTTTGTTATTATAGTTATTTACTATTGCAAACTTTTGATATACTCCGTAGTATTTAAATATATAAATTTTATTTTAATTTTACAGCTACAAAAATAATATAAATTGAATTGGAAATAAAGACAATCAAACCTCATATACATAAAGAAGAGGAACATTTTAAGAAGAAGAAATAAGAATCACATAGAATTTCATTCACTTTGTTGGTTTATTTTCGTTCCCTATTTGATTCCATTTTTCAAATAAAATGATTAAAAAATAACTGCAATCAAACATTGTAACGCACAACGAAAACTTTATTTGTAGACGGTTATTTGTAGACGGAGGAAGTAGATACATACATAGATACACACACTCTGTGTGTGTGTGTGTGAGTACAGCCGGGAACGTAACGGAGCATTCATTTAGAGAACTTTATGATGATCGAATAGCATACATAACATATATACTGCCGCTCAGCTCGTTTCTCGATCGTTCTAAGAAGAGGGTGGTGGTGGTGCAGAGACGGTGGCCGTGGCGGTGGTCAACGGCGTTTCAGGGGTCTCTATAGTCGGAGATGGTGGACCCGGCCTTTTGGGCGAATTTCCAGGATCTGCAAGTGATGGGGAATGGTGGTCAGGATTATTATTATTAGTATCATCTCTTGTTGCCACGGCAAAAGGAAGTGGAACCATCATTTGAAGGGTCATTACTAATAATAAAGCCATCACCATAAGCTGCTGCTGCTGCTGAAACAATAATTTGCTCATTATTATTATGGCGATAATAATAATAATAAGTTATTATTCCAATCGGTATATATTATTTGTGTACCCGATGTATGATACTATGATGGAGTATATTGATTATTATTGAATAACAATGGTGCACCCTTTATATAGGGGGGATTTGTTGAAAGTAAACCATGCCTAAGACTTAAAAAACCTCCATTTTTTGAACTTAAAGTTTGACCAAAATAATACTCCCTCCGTCCCATCCCATAAAGTGTTACCCATTTTGACTAAAGTTAAAATTAAGGAAGGGATAATTTTGTGTTGACTTTCCAAAAATACCCTTGATGTGATGGGTAAAAGTAGGATGTGATATATATATATATATATATATATATATATATATATATATATATATATATATAAAATCCAAACATGTCCCTTAATTACCATGTAATGACAGTGATTATTACCTTAATAAAATCTCTATTTAAAAAATCAAAGAAATCATCTTGGTTTCATCCACCAAACCATGACTTTGGTTGTCAATCAAGTGGTCAAATATTCAATGAAAGGATTTGGGACAATTTTATAAAGATATGATAAAGTAAGGAAAGCTACTCGGGCAAATAAGCTAGGTATAATAATAAAAGCTACTTGGGTAAATAAGTTTGGCAATTAAGTAAAAATTTACATCGAAATTTGCACTAAATAGTACTAAAACATATATCATTTTCCAATATAATACTTAAACTTTTTTATATTCTTTAAATAGTATTTTGAATAATGTCTAGTAGCGGGAACAATATAATGTCCAGTGATGGTGGACATTTAGTTCGAACAATGTCCAGTGGAATAGATATAATTACTTGAACAATGACTGACAGACAATGACCAATGATAGTGTATTGGGAAATAAAAACGTATTTTACTACTCTGTATATTGAGAAAGTCACAATGTTTATTACGGAGTACTATTTAGGTAAGTTCTTCAAATTTTAAAACTCAATCATCAGGTCAGGATCGATTGGAAGTGGCAATGGTCTAGGGGGGGACGGACATACTCTTCAACCATGCATCTATGTTATAACTTCCACAAACGGTAGACTATTTCCCATAAACGACGATTCAGAAGGTGGACTATCTTTTGGTACAACGTCATGCATAATCCCTCCTTGGTAACGGTTGACCGTTTTGTTGGAACAATCCATTTAATTGGCTCGATATAGATCTTTATGCATGGCATCCTTTGCTAGATAATACTCCAAGCAAAAGGCATGAGATGTCAGTTGCACATTCTTCTTCCTTAACACTATGTTTGGTTCAAGGAAATAGGAAGGAAAAGAAAAGAAAACGGTTTTCCCTCAAATTCCTCACCAAAATGGGAGGAATTTGGTTTTCTCTCATCTTAGTACATTTTGCTATCTCATTTTCTTTTCCTTCCACTTTCCTTTTCTTTTCCTCTCTAGCCAAACAAAAAAAATGTTTTCCTTCACATTTCTTTTCTTTTCCCTGTCAAATTCCTTAAACCAAACATGGTGTAAGTGTGTCATGCGTCGATGGTAGAGCAGGCCTGTCAATGTGATTCCAATCCGAACCCGTTAACATAATTGCTCTGGTTGTTATGTAGTAGATTTGGACACATTGAATCTTGAATATACATGTCACAAAACTTAATACCTTTTGTACCTCGTACTTGACAAAAGAAAAATTAATACAAATACTTCAAAACAAAAATGTATGAATTGAATAAAAACAAAAACAATATCAGCGTATATCACACTATGAATCCATGATAGTATTCCTTCCAAAAATTGATTCGATATTCTAAATAATTGTTGTATCTTTGATCTTTTTTTTTATTTTTACTTTTTTTTTCTCATTTCTTCTCTAATTAAACAAGAAAAAATATTTTTTTCCTTTTAACTTCTTTTATTTTCACTTTCAAATTTTTGGGCAAAAGTCTTCACCCAATCGGAAAATCATGAAAGTAAAAAATAAAGTCTAAAATAGCAATCAATTGAACCCCAACGAACTTTAAATAAAGGGAACAATATCCTTTTTGACAAAGGCTCCTAGGCTTTATAGAGTTAATAAATTGGGTTTAAATCAATACACACTGTATTCCATTGACCATTGTCAAAAATACTATATAGTACTCCCTCCGTCCCGCTTTGTTTGTCCACTTTTGACTTTTGGAACTGTTCATCTAAGCATTTTGACTCATCAAATTTTCTCAATGTGTAAGCCTAAATATAATCATGTGTGATCTTGTTTGATTTATCTTAACATATAGATTATTAATATATAATTTCTATAATTTTTTAATATACAAATTACAAGATAAAATGGATTAAAGAAGTGCATTGGATGGTGTGTAAAAATGAAAGTGGACAAATACTCTGGGACGGAGGGAGTATAAGAAATGGAAGCTAGGAATTCCTAAATTTCTTCTTAACTATAGCATTTTAAAAATATTACGAGTGAATTTGATATTTGTGTTTGAGTTTCTTTATTTTAGTCTCCTAATATCAAATATTATTCTGATAGTCCTTCTTTTATAAATATCTTTCCATAAATAATCTTTTTTAATTATATATCATGTTAGTGTTAATTTGAGCACTAAAAATGTAATTTTACAATGACAATATATCCATTTTGTCATACTCAATTCAAAGACCGCTCTTAATGCGTTGTTTGTGAATTACAATCACTTTCTCCTACAATCATTGTTTACAGGTGTTGTCATTCGTCGGAATCCTAACTCACAATTATAGTCATTATTTTTTTTGTTATTCATATAAGCAATACCATAATACGTCATTTGACATAAAGTTGATGTCAAATTATATTTTAAATCTTTAAATTAACACCAACATGACAGAAGATTAAAAAAGGATTATTTATGGAAAAATACACATAAAAGAAGGACTACGAGAATGATATTTAATAATATAAAACTGAATATGGAAAACCTTTGTTATAAAGTATAGTACCAATTATTGAATTTGCTTAAATTATTTAATAATTATGTTTAGGTTTTTAGTGTCTAAAAGAGGAGTATTCGCCAGGGAGACCACGAATAATAGTATTTAATTACCACATCTCTTTTAGGTTTCACTTCTTTGAGAACATCCAGATCTGTGAGAACGGTGGCAACTTCAATTCATCAAGATATTTGAGTCATACTTTTTGTACCTTTGTGAAGGGTGTGAAGTATGTCTGAAATTGATAAATATGAGCCGTGGACACCGAATCATAGCAGCAAGATCACTCCAGAGATCGACAGAAGTAGTAAAACTTCGAGTATGTTTGTGAACAGTGGGGCTTATAAAAGCTAGGAGACATGCACATTTTTGGGTTACACCTGTGCAAACAAGGGTTGACCCGTCGGACCTACCCAGCCCGCATTTTAAAAAGGACAGATATGAACAACCTTTAATACCCATCCATTTTCAAATATTGGATCAACTTATCCAACTATTCAGCACTAAGTTACACATTTGTACCAAAAAAAAAAGTGAAAAAACTATACTCCATACTCTTTTTGTTTCATATCTTTTTTTCTATTTAATTTTTCATGATCTTTAATACAACATTTTTATCATTTTTATTTTTATTTATATATATACATAGAATGAATATGAAAATATGATTTTTCAAAACTATATTTTGAAATAAATCTATTGAAATTAAATTTAAATCGATGACAATTCACTATATTTTTTCCCATATTTTAACGTTAAACTTTAAAATTAAAATGTTGATCACAAAAATCAAAATGAAAAGAAATACATGAAATAAAGAGAGCACGTAATAATAAGGTTAAAATCCACCATTGGTCCTTCAATCTTGTGAACTGTCCACGATTTGTCCTTTA